GCCCTGGTCAACCAGCCCAGCCACACAGCCTGGTTTTCCCAATGGATGGGCCCACGCTCCCACCACAGCAGCGTTCCCAGGGCAGAGCCGGGAATCGGCGACAGCCTCCGTGCTCCCTGCCTCCGTGCCAGGGCACAGGGTGCAGATCAGCTCCATCGGCTCTGCTGCGCCGAGTCCTCCACGTCTCCCCTTTACCTCTCCTTGCACGGAGCCCGACTGCATTTATTAAGGGATAAGCTGTAATCCTTGTGAGGAGCGAGATTCCTGAGGCACAGGAACTGAAATGACAATTGATCACAACGCTTGTTTATCTTCTAATTGTTGCTGCCTCCTGCCTTTGCACGTTCCAGCACTTGCAGAGGGAGGAACAGGGCTGGGAGATGTAATTTAATACCCCAAACATGCTGGCTTAATTGCAATCCCCATAAGCCAGCCACACAAAACTCTAAACAAATTCGATTAATTTATTTCAATTTGCACAAGTCTCCTTCTCAGACGGTAATTAATGGAGGGAAACAATTAAGGTAAACAGAGAACAGCTGAGAGAGCTGTCCTTGCTAAAAGCCACATTTTATTTTAATAAAGCTCCATTTGTATAACTTCCACACTCTTAACAAGTTTCCCATTTTCCCTGTATTTAATCAGCCCTGTAAATATTTTGCCTCAGCTGGAACGGTTTGGTGAAATTGTAAATCACACCCAGGGCATTAGCGCGGCAGGGAGCAGGCCGGCCGCTCCGAGGGCACCGTGTGGGACACGGGCCCTTGGGGATCGTTTCTCCTGCACTCGTTACCTCACCTGAAGTGCACAACCTTCTCTCACCTCTGTCCCTCCGTACACCTCACCGGGCCTTGGCGATGGAGATGATCGTGGACACGGTTTCACGGCAGCAGTCGCTTCGGTTGCCAGCTCCAAGGAGATCGTGCCTGGATGGAGAGGGGCTGTTGGTCCCCCCAGCCACAGCAGACAACAGCCCAGCCCGTTCCCAGCCTTCCAGCTCCCGAGGACATGGCTCAGTGTCCTGCACGTCCAGCCTGAAGCAAATTGGTGTTCATTACAACTTCACACCCCCAGCTGGGGCATAAGCACTAGTGGGGCTGCTCTGCATTGCTGTGGCATCCCGGGACATGGTCACATCTGGGCTCGGCCCTGCCAGGCCTGTCCCCCACGCAGGTCCCCTCCAGCCCATGCCAGCAGGCACCAGCCTTGCTGAGTTGGGTCAGTGTGATTGGGGACACATCCTTCCCCATTAAGAAAGCCATTATGAAAAGCCTGTCCCAGTACATCTATATATTAAAATGGATTATTAAAGCAGCGAGTATTTCTCCCTCCTCACGCAGGGGCAGGCTCAGGTACCTCCTCCATGTGGCAGGAGATGGGGCGGCCGCACAAAGGCACCCGGCCGGGCTCCGAACCCATCCCTGCTCCGAGTCACCTTCCCAGCGGTCGCTCCACGAACACCAGGACTGATTTCGTGCTGCACGTGGTCCGTGTGGAGCAGAGCACGGGGCTGATTCCCTGGGGAACTGGCGGGTCCCGCTCAGACCACTCCAGCAGCGCCTTGAAAGCAGTTTGTTTCTCAGCACTGGTCACTGGTCTTTCTCTGGCTCTGAATATACCCTGTGGGGGGGTTCTTGTGAACAAGAAGCTACAGCTGTCTTCAGTGTTTTCCTTATTTTTCTTAAGGAAAAAAAAAAAAAAAGGCAGGTATAATATGATCACACAGTCATTGTGCCAACTAAAGTACGGAGAAACCAGGTGCCATTTTTCCCCTTTCTTTCCACCTTTACTAGCCTTAAAGCGTAAGGTGCTCCACTTCCCTCATGGGCACAGCGTGCCTAGAGGAAAGGATCTTACCACCTCGTGTTGATTTTCTGCTCTCTCAAGCCCTGGCTGGTTTAATCGGCTTGGAGCAACCCCACTCGCTACAGGAACGCCAGGAACAGCCTGGCACCCGCGGCATTAGTTACTTGCCACCTTCGCTAATCACTTGCCCACCCTGTTGGGGTGGAAGTTGTCTCGTCCAGACCCACCTCCCCGCGGCTCCTGCTGCCATAGGGGAGGTGACAGGGCCTGTGTGGAGCCTGGTCCAGAGATGCTGGAAACATCTCGTGGGAAGCAGCGACGAGCCCAGCGTCCACCGCGCAGTCCCCATGGGGACACGGGTGTCCCCGTGCCCGGGCAGGGCTCCGAGGCAGGAGGATGCTGCACAGGGCACGGTGCTACGCGGAGCGCAGACACGGCTGCTCCCCAAAACCACATCCACCCTCGGCACAACAACCCGTCACCCCCGTCCGGCGGGGACAGTCCCGCACGGCGGGGCCACCTGTGCACAGCGCGGCAGGACAGGGCACCCCAGGGTGGGACAAGGGGGTGCCAGCTCTCCCCGTGACGCCTGCAGCCGGTCCCCCAGGCCCGCGCGGCAGGGGGAGCCGCGGCCGGGGGAGCCCCGAGCGCTGCTGTATGCAGCCAGCCCCGCTGAACCCCCCACGGCAATGGAGCAGAGCCAGCAGCTGCTCCTCCTCCTCAGCAGAGTTGCAGCTTGTTTTATTTTTAAACCCGTTTCTGCAGACGCCGGTGGTTTGGTTCGCACTCCCGCCGCGGGAGGAGGCTGCAGCGGGGCTGCTCCCACAACAGATTTGTTTCCCATTTCTTCCACAAAGCCCAGGCCCGGAGGCTGCAGGCAGAAGCTGGGGCCTCTCCAGGCACAGCCTGGCCTTGCTGAGGGCGAAATCAGAGCACCAGCTCTTCATAGAGCCCATAACATATTCCAGGACACGCTGTTCTGAAACACGGGATGTTTTAAGGGTACCTACAGTGCCAAGCAGCATCTCAGCCCACCTCTGTAGCTGCAGCCAGGTTCATTTTCACCCCTTTTTTGTTTCCTTCCCCTCTCCTCCTCGCCATCTGACACTTGCAGGCTGCGACCACCAAGTGCTTCTCGGGTGCCACAGTGAGGGCCAGCACCTCCCTTCTCCCCCTGAAGCACCCGGTGATGCCCCAGCACCCTGAGTCCTGCCCTCAGGGCACAGCCAAAAGGCAAAGGCCTGTTTTGCTGGTGGCATTTTGCTTCAGTGACCAGAGAAAAAACTTAATTCAGAGAGGGGAAATATTAATATCAGCCACAAAGATACCCCAAGCAAACTGGAGTGACTTGTCCAAGTCTCTTCCCCAAAAAGACCAGGCAGGAGAGGCTTTGGACTCTGGTTCTCTCCTAACCCGGAGCCCTCATGAGCAGGACAGCCACACGCTGTCCCCTGTGTCCCCCTCGCTCCGTCACCGCTCCTGCACAGGGCACAGCAGCAGCTCCGCGGGCACGCGGGGAGCTCCCAGCTCACCCTGCCCTGCAGCAAAGAAAGGCACTTACCAAAAATCAGCGGTGGGACCAGGGTGCTCTGCCAGGCACACACGCTGCCCTGGGACAGCCCATGGCTCCGGAGGAGCCGGCAGTCCCCTGGGGGGTGACCCCGCTCCACAAAACAGCGGCAAAGCCGGAGCGGACACAGCTCCAGGGCAGAGGAGCGAATCCAGGCGCACGCTGCCCTCAGCCCCTCGGGAGCAGGGGCTCTGCAGCAGCCCTGGGCAGGAGGGAACCCAGCGCTGAGGGTACACCCATGGGTGCCATTCACAGAGCGGAGAGCGCTGGAGCCCCAACCCAACTCTATCCCGCACACAACAGCTTGCAGAGACCCCACACGGCATATGAAGCATAGGGGAAAGACAGGGATAAGATTCCAGAAAAGATTTAATCCATTGATTCACTAAGCAGGTATTACTCCCAAATTTCCAATCAACCTTACTGACATAATGGATGGGAGACAAAAATCTCAAGTCTTCAGGACTTCTAGGGAGAAGAGCCCCTGTCTGCCCAGAGGATGCTGCTCTCCTGCCGCGCTCCGTGGTGAGCAGCAGGGACACCGGGGACACCGGGGACATGCACTCTGTGCCCCGTGCAGGGTGCCCAGCCCGGACCCCTGTGTACTGCCTTTCCCAGCCCTCCCCAGAGGTTTGGCCGCCTGACTTGTATCATCCAAAGTGTTTGGGGGCTCCTTACCAGGAGTTGCTGCTCGGATCCCCATTTCCTTTCCAGGAAACATTGGGCACAGAGCTGTGCTCACAAAGGAGCAGAATGATTCCCCAAAACTCTTCCAGGCCTAATTCTCCCACATGGCTGGTTCCTTCAACCCATCTCCCTGAGACCGGGTCAAAACCGCAGTCTGAGCCCAAGCAGGACCCACAGCTGCCATCTGCGTGGGGAGCAGGCACGAGCACCAAACCCGTCCACCCCACAGCACTTGAAGATGAGGCTTCCTCAGGCCACACAGCCACAACATCCCCACGCAGCTCCGTACCCGGGTGCTCCCTGCCAGGCCAGCATGGAGCTAAACGGACCCGGAGGGAGGGATGTGCAGACCGGGATGCACTTGGCTCTAGAGCCACATTGCTTCACTGCAGCGCCAAGGAGACTACAGGAAACAGAACTGGGAGATCCAGATTAATTTACCCTTCAGTTTAGTTTTGAGGACGATCAGGTCAGACTCATAAATGGAGGCTGAACCTTCAGCTCTGCAAAAGCTGGACAGACTTCTCCACATCCTGGCACAGCACCTCCAAAGCTTCTAAACACCCTCTTCCCCTGCTGTGCAGGGCAGGCTGCTTTACTAAAAAGCTATGCTGCTCTTCAAACAGGAAGGGCCAAAGCCAAGGGGGTCCTGGCACTCATTTCTGCACCTTCCTTGGCACCAAAGTGGCTCATGGAGGGATTCTGGTTCCTGGGCCATAACCCGGTTTTGGCGGGTGCCTGTTGTGGGACTCGCCGGGTTCACCCTGGCCATGCAGCCTGTCCCTGGCTCACATGGCCAACACGGACGGAGCGGCGGCAGCCCCAGGGCAGCAGTGCCCAGCTCGCTGCTGAGGTCGCTCTGCGGGAACCCAACGGTGCTAAAACCACAGGAAAACATAAGGAGAGCGGCTGGGTGCCACTGTCCCTGCGGGCACCCTCAGGGCTGGCCGGGGGGGCCGGGCAGGGGCAGCAGCGCCGTGAGGACGCGCTGCCGCTGGGCCAGGCGCAGCCGGGCCCGCACCGACGTGATGGAGAAGAGCAGCAGCTGGTGGGACGGGTCGAGGGGCAGCACGGACAGGAGCCACCAGCACCACGCGGGTCCATCAGCAGAACCCTAATGGGCAGAGAGAGGAAAGAGAAACACCCGCGTCAGGCAAAGTCTTTGGGCAGCATCTCCGATAGGAAAAATGTGCTCCTGTCAGCGAGGAGGCCGCTGCGGCAAAGCCAGCTTTGGCTAAGGTATTCATTTGAATGGCCCTTTTGTCTACCCAGGCTTGAAACTGCTGGATAAAGGAATTCAATTTCCAGACAAAAATACTCCAGGGAGCCTCCAGACACAGCAGCAATCAGGAAAGAGTCTACACCAGAGAGACAGAAATATCTGGTGCCTTGGTTTGTCTTTAGACAACTCCCTTGCAAAGCACAGGGCAGGCTCTGCTCTGCAGCCCTGGCAGCACCTCGACCAGCCCAGACCCTGCGACGGGGCTCGGGCTCTGCCCAGGCTGGGGGCAAGGGGAGGCCCCCCAGGAGCTGTTTGCCCCAGCGTCACTCAGCTGCTCTAACAGGGGCAAGCACAGGCCAGACTGGGCAACAGAGCTGGGCAAAGCTTTTGGAAAATGCTCCTGCAAAGTGTGAGCCAGTTTAAGAGGGAAAAAATCCGATGAGCGAGACGGTCACTTTGCAGTTGTGAGCACTGCGTTGGCACGGCTGCTGCAGGACAGCTTGACCAGGGCACACAGTGGGCACACATGGGAAGAGCCTATCTGCAGTGGTCTGGGCAGGAAGCTCTTTCTTCAAAAGCAAACAACCTTTCAAAATGAATTTGACAAAGCAAGCAAATTGGATCCTGTCTGGCTAGCACCCCTTTTCAAGCCAGCAATGGCTTTCTCCAATAAAAAGATAAGAAAGGAGCCCACAGATTCATGGAGTTGGTTGTTTTTCTGAGTTTTCCCCACCACCATCCCCAAGTGGTTTCAAATCCAGGCAGCTCAGTTTTTACTTTGACATGAGGACTCAGGGAAAGTTTATAAAACTCAGTACTTGGTTTCCAAGAACAGTTTAAAAACACAGAAATGCTAAGCTGCTTAACGAACAAGCCCTAAAATACCTCTAAGTGCAGTAAACAGTAAAAAGTGAAACACGGGGTCTGCTTTTTCTCGTCTTTCACCTGGATGTCCTCCTCCTTCTCTGGCAGGGATCCGTGCTGCACCAAAGTGTGTCTAGAGGCACCATCTCCCTGCTCACAAAACCTCTGCGCCAAACGGTAGGTGCTCTCATGCAGGCGCTGCAGCTCCTCCAGCTCCTCCCCGTCCACCTGCGTGGAGGAAAGAGCAGAAAAGGGCTGCATGGGAGGAGGAAAACACCATGGAGAAGAGCCCTCACCCACCTACAGCACCTCATCCGCTCTCCAAAGTGTTTGCTGAGACCGAGCGACACAGCACAAAGCAGGAGGAGGATTCACACACCACAACCTGGCTTCACTAGCCACAACCAGCAGCTCCCAGGGTTTTGCAGCCAAGATGACCTCCCCGTTCCACATCCAGCTTTGCACTCAACTCCTGTACGAGGAGGCCAGCAAAGCTGGCGAGACTGGAATCCATGCCTGGATTCAGCCAGGATTCAGTATGAAGGATGCCACTGGCAGAGACAGCCACCCTGTGCCCCAGAAGCATGTGGAATTGTCCCCCTGCAATGGAGATTTCTGCCCTGGTCCTTCCCTCACCTTCTTGTCCTCCAGATACTCAATATCGGCCGTGTCGTAGCCATCCCTGTGGCCCCGTCTCAGCACCCGGAACCGCCGCCTCCCTATCGCATCCACCAGGGATCTTCCATCTGCCAGAAACTCAATCTGCTGAATCTCCAGCATGCAGCCATAGTCAGCAAAGCTGGGGTAAGCGACGGAGAGAAAAGGAGGCGTGAGCAGGGGTGCCAGTGGTGGGAGAGCTGCTTTTTCCCATCACATCACCTCCACAAAGGAGCAGCCCCAGCAACAAGGGGGCTGGAAGGGAGCAAATTCAGAGGGCAGCTCTGAGTTATCACTGGCAGCTAAGAGGAGAGGGAACAGAGGGGACGCTGCCTGCACACACACACGGCTCCCTTGGATCTGCCCAATACCAACATCCTCATTCTGCCCTGACATCCAGAGGTCCTGAACCAACTACCCCTTGCTGAGACATCCTCCCAAAGTCTTATTTCACTAGAGAAGGACTGGATCACAGGGAGGATTTGTCCATGTAAAGAGACATATTTGTCAGTTCTTGGGTTAGCAGCCTAGAGATGCAGCCCACCTGAGATCTGCAGGTTTCACTGCAAATCCAAATGTTGCCACTTGGCATCAAACAAAAGCCCATTTAACCCGGTGTCCTGGTTTTTCACGATGAGCAGTTGCAGCTTGTTAAGGACAGAGTTTAAGATATAGGACAACTTTAAAGTGATCACTAACAGAAGCTGAAAGACACAGCCAGACAACCATGCAGGTCAGAGACTTCCCAGCTGCACCCTGCTCCTCCTCTTGGTACCGTCAGGATTGGAGAGACTTGCAGCTAACTCCCACTCTGACCTGGAGTTCTGAAGGGAATGGGGTGACTTAGCACCTCTGAAAGGCACCAAGTGAGATGGGTGACTCCCAGCTGAGTCATCAGGAGCCCCACACAGAGCTACAGGCTCAACTCCTGTCCCCACGGCCCAGTGTAGCTCCACACTATCCCTTATGTCAGTACCTCTGACATCTCACCAGCTATGCAGCTTTCTGCGTGCTCCTGGACACAGAAGATGCTGGGACTGACCCAGAGGGGCAAACAAGCAGCACAGGAAGGGCAGGAGAGCTGCCTTGCCGCGGGACTCACCTCTTTCCATTCTCATAGACGCACATGCCAAACCTCCTGGTGCCGGTCTCCTGGCAGCGCCGCATCATGAGGCGGTAGCGGGGCTCGAAGACGTGCAGAGGGCACGAGACGCCCGGGAAGGACATGGTGCACACGAAGATGGGGATGTTCTTGGTCAGACTGCAGGAGAGGAGGAAGGACGTGAGACCTTCAAGAAGCATCTCCCACCGAGCGCCAGCTGGGATCCCGGCTGCCCTCCTGAAGCAGATCTGCAGGTACTGTGTCCCAAGAAGGGATATTCCAGCTCAGGCTGACAGTAGAGCCTCTACTCAGATCACCAAGAGCCCAAGGACAGGCTCTGTCCCCAGGCCAGCCCCTCAATCCCACATGTCCCCCAGGCACATCTGGAGCCTCCCAGCAGGGCTGTGCCCCGCTCCTGGCGGCAGGACGGACACAGCTGGAGCAGAACCGGGACACAGCGACACTCCATGGCACAGGCAGCCCCTGCCCTGCCTCCCTGCACAAACACGGGCACCCCCGACCGTCCCGGCTTACTTGGAGAGCTCAGCCATCTCGGCCTGGTGCAGCGCGCTGCGCTCGGCCAGCTGCGCGGGGAAGGCGGCCAGCATGATCTCCTGCAGCAGCACCGTGGGCTTGTAACTGCCAGCCCTGAGGTACTGAGAGAAAGGAAGCCCAGAAAGAGGTTGTGTAAGAGCAGGAGGGGAGCCCCTGAGCCCCCGAGCTCCCAGTCACTCACTGTTATGGGAGCTGAGGGTAATTTTAGATCAGAATGGCAAAGATAAAAGTGACTGATGTGATGCTCTGCAGCCATCTAGCAGGGCTAGAGGTCAGAACTACCACAGCTTCCAGGCGCAGGGAACTGCTCTGGTTTAGTCCTATGGCCCATCTAAGGCAAAGTCCTGTCTCAGCAATGCAGTCCTTGTATGACAACCTGATTTCCCTGATGGTCTCATCTGAAGACCTTCTCATTAAAGGTTACACCACAATTCCATCCATTTCAATTTTTAAATATTAGTAGCATTAACTTTTTTCTTTCTTGGTCTTATTTACAGTCTCACTAATCCACTGGGGTATCCTGTGAAAATGAATCCCTTGGGCTTAATTACAAACTGTGTGGCCCTTCCCACAGGAGTGAAGCCGATGCCCCTGTGTTGGAGGAGCCTTGGGGCACTCCAGGCCCAGCGCCCTGGTGCAGCTGGAGCCAGCAGAGCCCGGCTCTCCCTCGGGATCCATCCCGGCGGGCACGGCCTCACCTCCCTCAGGCTCTGCTTGCAGAGGGGGCAGTTGGGCCTGTGGTCCAGGCAGCGCTCCAGGCACTCCTTGCAGAACGTGTGACCACACGGCGTCGTGACGGGCTCGAAGAACAAGCTGCAAAACAACCCCAAAGTCAACAGATTGAAGGGAGCCTCCTTCAAGGAGGAGTAAGGCACCACAGAAAGCCATTTCATACTGTGTTTTCCATGGTCAAGCAATACACAGTTGTGAAGTTTGCCTTCACTAAAGCTGCATAGCTAAACTTTGCTTATAGCTCCCATTAACCAAAAAGTTCCTAACGTGTTTATTTTTTAACCACGAGTCTGAGATCAGACTGCTGGACTCGCACAATGCTGTGAGCCACATCAAGTGTTTCCTTCTCCCCCAGCTCCAAGAGCAGAGCAGGCTGCAAGTCACTCAGGTTGCTCACAGGTGGCTGCAGGACCAGGAGTGAAACGGGCTCAGAAAAGCTCTGCTTGGAGATGTTGAGACACGAGTGGGAGTCACCTACAGATGGTGCAAATTGTTATTTCCTTCTTCATTTGCCTACTGAACCCAAATTCCTCCTGAGCCTGACATCTTGCTCAGACGCAGCACGAAATCTCAGCTCACCTACCCCACACCAGATGCAGCTCTGGTCTGGCCCCTGCTCACAGGCAGCCATCCCCTCGTGCTGGGCCCACACAGCAGCCCTGCACCATCCTGCACGTAGGGCCGTGAAACTCCAACAGGAGGGTGTTTGCACAACTGCTCAGGGTGCTGCGACACGCTGGAGATCACCTCAACGTGTCCCCTGGCCATGGGCTCACTTACAGCACCCAGGCACGTGCTCTGCCCCCGTCTCCTCTCCCACCTCCTGCGTGCAGAACGTGGCTAATTCCCCTCTCTGGGACTGCAACAGCTGTGTTAGCAGGCAGAGCCTTCCTGTTCTGGGCTGCGGCTACAAACAGCAACCACTGCTTAAGATCTCTGACCCCACTGAACATCCCCACCTCTGCACTGATGCTATGAGCAACACAGACATAGAAATTTGGGGTCCAAGGGAGTGGATATAAGTTCTTCCAAGTCTTAGAGGGGAAAGCCCGCTTCCATACCTTCCTCCTCACTTTTCTCTTATCCTTTAATCTGTGTTTGTGTGGTGCTGCTAGGGTGTGAAGAAAGCTCCAGGCAAGGAAACAAACCCTGGCAGGAGCCTGTTCTTCATCCTGACAGCTCACCGTGTGGGAAGCTCACCGGATGCACAGGGAGCACTCCAGGTCGGATAGGCTCAGCAGGTCCCCCAGGTACAGCTGGTCATCTGCTGCTGCTGCCTCCTCGTCACTGTCTGCTAGGAGAAAGAGAAGGAAAAACACCACTCCCTGGGAGACGTGCTGAGGCTTTCCTCAGTGCCAAGACAAGCAGTAATGTTCTGGTATCCTGCCTCGCACAGCGTGCAGGATTCCACCCTGTTCCTCTCACCAGGACACACCAGGCTGGCAGGGCAGACTAGGGGACAAGACGTGCTGGATGAGTGACTGTTGGCACCTCTGCTCAGGCACTGAGCCCCTGCAGGCTTTGGGCACAGCAATTCAAAGGAAGTCACCCTGTGACTCCACATATCCAAAGGAACAAATGCTATCTACTTTTTGCTAGAGGTTTTTAAAACAGGTCCAGAGATCCGGTATACTTTAAGCAGGTCAATAAAGGGATATCAGACCCCCTTGCCTCCATGTGTGACAAGCACGATGGTTTGAGCTGCCCCATCGTGCATTCCTGGGATCTCAGCTCACTTGTCTGGCACACCACAAACAAGATTTCAGCATCTAAATGCGTTTTAAACAGGAATTTCACCCAAGGTGAGATCCTGGTACCTCTAATGACACTTACCTGACAATGGCCTTTCCTGGCTCTCTGCATCTGAGTCTTGCTGTCTCTTCAATGGGGAAAGGTTGTGCATCAATTGCCCACCCCTAGGGACAGTGTCCCCTTTGCCATTCTCCATTGGTCCCTCCCGATCCTGGAAAATGCAAAGGAAAAAAAAAAAAAAAAGAAAGAAAAAAACAAGAGTCAAGCCTGATGCCCCTGCTCCCTCTGTGCTTCACCCAGCCCCGTCTACACAGCAGAGCCCGTGGTACCAGGAGCATTCCTGTGCATTATTATGGATTGACCCGTTGGTTATGCTGGATGCTCAAACAGGGAGACCCTGATCCAGGACGTCCCAAAGGGACAGTAAGTAGGTCCCATCGCTGCCTCAGAGCACTGCAGGATTCCTCACCTGAGCATGCTCTTGTGCAGGGGAGGATGTAGACCCAGTGCTCCATGCTTCTTCCCCTGCTCCGGTGCTGGATGTGCCCTCATGGGCAGCAGCTGGGAGCTCTCCAGGTGAGCTTGGACAAGGAGAATCCTCCTGTGCAAGGATCTGCAAGGACAGGACATGGCTCAGTCGTGATACCTCAAAGAGGGGATCGGGAATGCACAGCCTGCAATACACAATCCTTCCCAAGTCCTAAACCAAACCTCTTATTCCCCACAGCCCACAAGGGCACAGTATGGGCTTCTTGTTTCAAGATTAGCTGAGCCCTCCACCAAACCAGTGCCCAAGACAGACTTGGGCTCCAGACTAGGATAGATAGTGGCACGAGGCAGTGAAAAAGGCAGGTTTAATAGGCTGGAAATCATGTTCTCTGCCACCCAAAAGAACCAGAAAGGAACAAGTGATTGGGGGGCATCCGATCTTCCTCAATCCCCTGCCCCTGAGAGGTGGTGACAGTGATTTCAGTACTGGGTTCGGTGCTGGATCGAAACCAGACGAAGAGAGGACTCCAAGCCGCTACCAACAGCTTTTAGCTGGCTGTTTTGGTGCTGGTTGTCACCGACACTGTCTATAGGCCTGGACACTTGCCCACGTCACCAGCTAAACCCTGCAAGAACCACAGACTTGCAGACAGGAGGGCACTTTTCCCCATGTGAATTTGCCCGTGCACCAGTGCCAGCTGCACGGGGAACCGGCCCCCGCGCTCCTGGCCCTTCGGAGGCCAAGCTGGTCCCACGGGCCACACGAGGGCACGGAACAGCGCGTGCCGGCGCGGAGCAGAGCTCGGCCTCGGCGCGGCCCTTCCCACCTTGTCCAGCTCGCTCCGAGCAGCGGGAAAAGCGGGATTCAGCGCAAGGCAGTGCTCAAATGCCAGCCGGGCCTCGGCTCTCCGTCCCAGCTCCAGAAGCACCTTCCCTTTCCTGAAGAAGCCCTGCAGAGGGAAACATGGGCTGACTACCAGACACAGGCAACACTCATTTCCAGTATTTTTTTCAGTCCGAGGCTGGGTCAAAGTAGCCAAGCTGAGGCAGGGCTTCCTCCTAGCCCGGCCTAGGGACGCAGCTCAGGAAGCAGCACAGCAGCCCTTTCCCCAGGGCTTTTGCCCCCAAATCTCCTGTTGCCAGAGCAAGGAGCAGTGCCCATGCCCCACTGCTCACCTCACCATCTCCAGGCTTCATCCTGCACACCACGTCCAGGTCCTCCAGCGCCTCGGGATACTGTCCCAGTGTCACACAGGCCTCTGCCTGGCACAGCTGCAGGGAAGCATCATCTGCGACTGGAAACAGAAGTGTCATCACTTGTGCCACGAGTCCCCAGAGATCTACGCCCTGAGCTGCCACTGCTGGACAAGCCTGAGGAGACCTTGCCATGCTGGGACAACTGCTGCTGCAGCAGCCCTTAGGCTAAACAGCTCCTGAACAACTTTTCTGGCAGGACAGAGCCTTCTGCAAGGTGCTCATCTCCTCTAAACAGCTATCTGCAGATTTCTTTATTTCTCCCTCAGTATTCCCTATTGCCCTGGGAAATTCTCAGCCACAGGGTCCCACTGATGCCTTGGGGCTGTTTCAGCATCTACTTGTTTGCCCGTGACGGTGTCTGTGCTTACAGCCATCCTTTAGGGACACAGCTGCAGGGTGTATCACGTACATCCTCCCAATGGTGGCTGTTGCCATGGGAGGTTCTGCAATATGATTCACCCTGCAGAGCCACAATAACAAGTTACAAAACAGGCCAGCAGCTGTGGAGACCTGCAGCCACAAAGCCTAGAGAGCTGCTGGACCCAGCAGTTTGCCAGCTCCATCCCGGGGCAGAGGGAAAGCCAGCGGAGCTACGAGGAGGACTCCAGGTCTGCCCCAGCACCCGCTGGGCTGACTGCTGGGAGGAAGGCAAAGCTGGTGGATCAGCACGTCCCAGGGCAGGACCTGAGGGTGTTTCCAAGTACAAGAAAAGGTGGAGATTTCCCAAAACAGAGGAAGGGAATTCTGCACCCAGTTCTCGCTCATCCAGCTTGCAGGAGGCAAATTCTCACTGATCTCGGCTGGGATCTCCACAGAGCAGGGAAACACCTCCCATGGGTGCCGCTGGCCATGAAAACCTTCTTTCTCCCACTCACAGAAACCCCATTAGCACCTTCCTTACCATCTGCACCATCAATGCAGTGTTTTGGGGGGCACAAGGCAAGGGTGAGGCCAAGCTAATAGCCAAGCACTAACCAAATCAGCACCCTCAGCACCCATGCAACACAGATTACAGAAGCCAGGTGTGGTCACACGTGTGGGTTTGAGCTGTGGGAGATGCACAGACTCACCCCGTTATATCACAGTTTGCTGTGGAGACGACCTATATCCACCACGCTGCTGCCCTTCCCAGCTACAGCAATGGGTCAATAACCCCATGTGGGGTCCCACCCGACACTGAACGGGTTGCAGAGGGCTACAGATACCTGCTCCTGGGGTGGGGGAACGCAGGGATGACCCCAGTCCCGCGGGGAGAAGGGGACATCCCTGCAGGACAGCGCACACGGACACCTCGGCCTCGCACCAGGCAGCGCTCCCGAGACCATCAACGGAGCCAGGAGCTCGGGACACCGGCCGTATCCTCCTGAACCCAGCCAGGGCTGCAACACGGCTCATTTCACCTTGCGAATACTCAGCCTCCAAGAACGAGGGAAACAGCACAGGCATCCTGATGGAAGCGTTAAACACTCCCCTCTCCTCAGGGCCAGGACAGCAGCCAGAAAACCCTCTTCTCCCCCTTCCCGAAGACCTGAGGCCACACTCGCACCATTAGCAAGGAACAGCTTTGAACTGTGGCAAAGGGCTCTGCAGAGACGCCTTGCTGGGGGGTTGGCAGCTCAACTCGTTAGCAAGGAACAGCTTTCAGGCACTGGATTTACTGTGGCAAAGGGCTCTGCAGAGACACCTTGCTGGGGGGTTGGCAGCTCAACTCTCGGCAAGAGGCAGCCCTGATACAGCCTTGCAGGAGACTGTCCCCCAGAGCTGCTCCTGTCACCGTGCCCAGGCTCCTACAGCCCCTCGGCCTCCCGCCGTGCCCTGCTGCGGTGCAGGGAGGCTCTGCCCGGCCATCACCTCTCACTGCTCTGCAAACCGTGGCCGCTCGGAGCTTATTTTCCCTTATCACCTTAGGAGCTTAGGGCTCAGTTCAGAAAGGCTGGGAACTTACGACACTGCCCCCATGCCAGGGACCTAGAGACAAAACACTTCAGCGCTTAGTGACAGCTAGAGACGAGCAAGCAGGTACAAAGTCTAGGAGCTGGTTTTCTGCACGAACCAATGTGCAGGCGAGACACTTGCACTGCCTGGCAATACAGCAAAGGATTTGGTGAAAATAAGATGTGTAAAATCAGGCTA